ACAATGAATTAATTACATTCCAAAGTGATGAAGAAGAGGTCTTATTTTTTTCAATTCGTTGTTTTGTATAATTTCTTTTTGCAGTTTTAACTAAGTGTCTTAATTTATTTTTATATTCTGTATATCGTTGTTTTTTTAAGTTATCTGAGGGATCTTGGATTAGCTGATCATACAATCTGTGTTTTTCCTGTACAGACTTTAAAAGAACCCCTGTCATCCAATCTTTTTTAATAGTGGTTTTTAGATCATTTCCTTTTAAAATAATTGTATTTTTGTTTATTAAATTTAAAATTTTGTCAATGAAAAGTTTTACCGCTTCATTTTTATTTGTTTTATTGTAAATATCCAACCACTTTTCCTGCTTCAAATTGTTTTTTAGATTTTTGTAGTTGATGTACTTCTTTATTATTATTTTGTTTTCTTTGGTTTTGGTTAGATTAGGAATGGAAACTGCAATTGGATAATGATCTGAAGTAGTATTATTTTTAAATATATGCAAGTATATATAACAATATTTGATGGAACAGATGAAAAAGTGGAAGAGATGTACCAGTTATTAAACAGTAATTCTGTTAATATACCCAAAAAAGAACCAGTCATAATATTGGGTGACTGGAACGAAAAAATAGGAAAAACAACAACAAAAGCTCTGCTAAAAGAAACAGTTGTTGGGTTTGGAATAGGTGAATAAAAGGAGAAAAGCTAATACAATTTATCATTTGCACTGAACTTATTTTCATGAACACCTTGTTTTAGCATCATCCGCAAAGACTGTCAACTTGAACTTCACCAATGGGAAGCTATAACAATCAAATAGACTATATTCTTATCAGAAAACGATGGAAAAGTTCAGTAGTCAACGTAAAGACAAAACCAGCGGTTGATTGCGAAACAGACCATAAACTGTTACAATCTGAATTCCGCATCAAATTTTGTAAAAAAACTAAAACACATAAAACAATTAAATATATACCTAAAGAGCCTGGAAAATACAAAGAAACACTAAGACATAATAACATTACTGAACATACAAATACGTGGATTATAGATAACAAACTCCAAAGAAACCCAAAGGAAAGAAAAACACTGGATGACTGACGAGACACTGAAGAAAAGATACCTAAAAAAATTTTTTTTTTTAGTACGATTTCCGAAACTTCAATTAAATAACTTTAACCTTTAATTGTAGCTTATTCCCATTTAAATATTATTTAGCAGTTTTGAAAGCTAGAATTGTAATTTAGAACGCCAACCTTCGAAAGGAATACTCCTTGGAAATTTTTTTCGTTCCAACTGCAAAATTTCGTTTCGTTTCTCCAAATGTTGAGAGCTCATATTTTTCTTTCAAGATTAAATTTTTAAAGAATTTCTTGTTATGTTGGTTGATTGGGAGACGTATAATATTCATTTATTTTTAATTACAAAACATCATAATATATTTGTTAAAAGTTACATTCTCTGTAATTGTTTTAAAAGCTAACGACTGTATTGTATTTTAAATGTTCGTCTAATTTATTCATGAGCTTGATCAACCAACCGCAGTTAACGATCGACATAACTGGATTAAAGCAAAAAAGTACCTAGTGGTTTTGTTCACTACTTCATAATTTCTGTATTCGATATCTATAAAAACAGCCAGTAGTGTAGTCGTTCAAGCATCACTGTCAAACATGAGAGATCCGGTGAATCTCAATCGATGGGATTTGCTGTTTTTTCTTTTGATTTTTGAGCAGTTTCAATTAAGTTGTTGACTTAAAAGATTCATAAAATGATAACTAATGCTATAATGTAGAATAATCTGTGTTTGTATTTTATATCAAAGTATAGTGATTTTATAACTGGAGAGATTTACTTCCTCATGAATTTTATTATACACTACTCAACAATTGAAATGGATAATTTTAAAATTCGTAAAATTAACATCTAAAACTATTTAAAAAAAAATAATTGCCTGTACTATACTCTATATGCTATCTTTATTGCCAATGTTTTTTGCATGCGATTTTTTTCTCCCTATTCCTATCGGCCCTTATCTCGTACAAAGAGAAATGTTGTTCCAAACATGAATATATCATTCGCTTGTATTGGCTTTACCAGTTGTCAATAAGTCAAGAAATCTATTTATTACAAAAACATTATGCCGCTAAGATGTTTAGAACTAGTGCAGCTCGATCAATTAGTTGGTTGGATCCAACAAGGCATAACTCAACAAGAGGTTGCTATGAGGCTAAATGTGTCGCAAAGTGTGATAAGTCGTGCATGGAATCGTTATGTAGCAACTTGATCTGCAACATATAGGCATGGAGGTGGAAGAGAATGATCTACAACTCGTCGGCAAGACCGTTTTGTAGTTCTGACGGTAAGAAGAAAAACCCAACATTCATGGCTTCCAGAATTAACTGTATCTTAAGGCATGCTACTGGACAAGCGATTTCCAGTCAAACTGTCAGAAGACGGTTACATGAATCCAATTTAAGGGCTAGACGGTGCGCTACCCATCCACAACTAACTAGGGAGCAGCATGTAAGCAGATATCGCTGGGCGATGGGACACCATCAGTGGAATTTCGAAAATTGGAAGAATTGTCTCTTTACTGACGAGTTCAGATTTTGTTTGTATACGAATGATGGCCGAATGTTGATGTGAAGCGAAAGAGGTCAGCGTTACAATGAAAATCGAGAGTCCCAACCACTCTTTTTGGAGGTGGATCATCTGTTTTGACGGTCGCACGGACTTAGTCGTCTTAATTAATGAGACAATGACTGCTACGCGATATGAAGACATGGTCATAGTACCAATAATTGTTTCATTTTTTGGTGCAATAGGCGAACAATTTGTTCTCCAGTTTAATTCCATATCGGACGTAGGCAGTGGAAGTGTCAGGCATCCAGGCAATGAACTTTAGATATATATTGGAATGCATCCAACAATGATTGTTAATCAGAGATGAGACAATGATCAAAGATGTTGTAAGAAACGTTTGGAGTATAATGTAATGGGTGACAGTAATCCTAAAAGGTCATATTTAACTTAAAAACGGGTGGATCAATTAACTAAGTAAAGACTGATTTCTGAAGTAGAGGCCATATTGCATTCTTTTAAAAAAGCACGAGAATTTGAATGTATTTTATGGATTTGGAAACCGTGAGTGTTCAGAATTGAGCATAGTTGAGCACAGTATTGACACGTGCGTCATCTTAATCATCTCGTTTATTCCGTCTACGAATTTTTTTTCAACGTTTTTTGTTCAACGTCATTTTCTGGTAAAATTATTTGATCTAATTTATCATATTTTTTAGCGAAAACAATGACTATTTCTTGTTACAGAACAAGTAATTTTGAGCTAACTCGTAATCTTTTTCTAAAACCTTTTTTTATTGCTATCACAGTTTCTGTATTTTGTATAGTATAGTATGGTATCCATTTTATATAAGTTTTTATTTTTCTATGTGGCAAAACCAATGATATTTACAATGCGAGTATAATTTCTTGTCTTTAATAAGTTTGTATTGTTTCTATGAAAAAAGTCCGATGTTCCCTTCACTGAATTTGTATCATTTTATATATTTTTGGATTCTAACGAAAATATGAGAAATAACTAAACTTATAGCATACGCAACAAATAATTTTAATAAGTTTATATGCATCTAAGACAAAAAGATTAGTGCTGATATAAAATTATGATTGATCGATGTATGGTTTATAGTGGAATATAGAAATTGTCGTGCGAGCAAATTTAAGCACCACATTATTTAGGTTGTAAGTATAGGAATATTACGAGAAATATGAAAGGCAGGGTAGTAAATAAATCTCGAGGCAAAAAAATATTGCTATTTGATTGCAATTTGCGATTTGATGCAAAATATTGATAGTGGACTGTCAAAAAACCATCAGAACTGTTTTTGGCTGTTCTGTACAAGTCTTATCAGAATCAGACGTTACTCTCAATTAGGATATGTCACTATAAAACAAATTACATAATGAAAATCTGGTGATAAACAACTAAGTTAATATATTAAACGTAAATACACACTATATAGATGAGGAGTTTCATGGAGCTAGGACAATTAAATTTCATCTTGTTTAAATTATAATTTTTAATTGATGTCTCGGTATCAATATCATAAGTAAACACTTCAAGCCGACAGTTCAATGGTAGGAAAAAGGTCATACTACTTAATAAAACGGACAAATATTTATTTCCACGTAAGTGTAAGTTCAGTTTAAAGCCTCGTTTGGGATCCAGCCAACCTGAACGCGATTTATCGGACACGACGAAAATGTTACGAATGAAAACACACACAACTTTTCGGTAGAATAGTAAGGACAAGCTCAACACGATCACACACTAAATACTGATGCTTTTTTAAGTTGTGGTATATTTTATGCAAAAGAAGGGCGTATTATTTTATTGAACCGCTTTATCGCCTTTATTGTTTAGTAATTATCTTTTTATATCACTTCGTTTTACGTTAAGAAGATTTTTATAAGTGAAGTCGTTTTTACTCTATTTATATTTAAGGGACATTTTACTATACTTTCCATGCAACACATTCCTAAGTTCAAAGATTTTTTTTGATCTTGAAAAACCACATTGATATCCCCAACTATTTGTTCCGCATATGGTCTCAATCGGTCATACACAATATTTGACAGTATTTTATATGCCACAGTCAGTAGCGTTCATAGCGTAGTAGTCATACTTTGTGTATCTTTTGTATTTTCTTTCCAAAAAAAAAAGAACAAATACGAAAGACTGTCAAAACTTTGTGAGGGTTACTAAGATTCGATATCTAAATAAAGATCCTAAAAGAAGAATCTGTAGCGAATCGAGAAAAAGAAAGAACTATATGACTAAATAGAACTTTAAGGTAAATTCTATAGAGCTTAAATGTGCACATCCTCTATTAATCACATATACAGTACATCATTGCTAGTGTATTTTATTTATTTGCTAATAAATAATATTGATAATAAACTCTAAACAATAATACACTTACCAGGTAAAGAATCCGCGTTAGAGCTGAAGAGCACGCACAACCCGGTCTCGTAATTGACACTCTGACAGCTTTCATTTCCTTGACACGTTTCTAAACAATCCGTAAGCATCAGCGTTCCAGGAATCGAGTCCAACACATTTCCTGGCGCCGAAAATACGTTTCCGGTGATGAGCTCAAATCCGATCATCTCCGGATCACAATCGTCGAGCGGTGACGGTGGAGGTGGAGTAGCTTTTTCCGGAGTATTTATAATTTCCGTTTCTGAGTCCACTGTTTGGCAAAAACAGCCGTAGAGCGATAAGAATAAACTAAGTTGTAGAAGCCAAGACATTGTTGACTAGAAGATTCTGAAAACAAAAAAAAATGTTAGAAGCATAAAAACTCTTTGATACAATTATAGATAAAATTAAAGGTACGTAAGTAAAAAACTATAATTTGTATTTGTATTTATTGTGGTTGTATAAATATAAATATCATTGCTGGAAAAAAAACTTACAAACAAAAAAGCTAACAGGTGACAATAATGTATTTTTGACTAGTTCGTCACTATAAAAACTTTGTGCCCTTAAATCAAATTGTTCACATTTACACCAGAGTATCTAGATCCTATTTCTTGGCTGGATCAGTCCCTTTTTTGTTTATGTTATCTTCTTGACAATATCTCTCCATTTTTTCATGTCTCTAGTTTTTTCTGTCCATTCTTTGGAGGTCTTAGTCTTACCCTTCTCTATTTTCCTCCTGGATTCCATTCTAACATCACGTATCTCACTTCCCCGTCGCCTGCTCGCCAAATGTGACATAACCATCTAACTCTGCACTGCTTTATTTTAGTCACGATGTCCTCCTTAATGGTGCATTTGTTCTGCTTCTATATCCATTTTACTCTGTTCTAATTGGTCCTAATATGGTTCTCATAATCTTTCTGCTATTCTTAAGTCTTCTTCATATTTTTCAACCATCGTCATTGTTTCTTCTGCATATAGAATATTGGCTTAAATATGGTATTATAAATGTTCATCTTAGTTTTCTTAGTCAGTGTTTTGATTTAAAGTAATTTTTTATTTGCAAAATAAGCTTTATTTACTATCAATATTTTTTCTTTTATTTCGGACTTCCTTTCTCCAAATTTGCTTATTGTAACTCCTATGTATTTAAAGTATTCTACTTCTTCAAACTCAGAACTTCCTATTTTGAATTTTTCTTTCATTGGATTTTTCCCTAATCTTCATATTTTTGTCTTTTGTTGATTTAATCTTAGTCTCATTGCCTCATCTTTCTCTCTTATTTCTTCTAGCATTTCTTTCATTATTTTCCTTTTCTTTGCAATAATAGCAATATCGTCTGCCTATGCAATTATTTGACCACCTCTTGTTCTGAGATTTCCTTTATTTATATTTCGTGTATTTATCTTCCTTGTTTCATCCCTTTATTTATACTGGATTTCTCTGTCTCTCCTTTTTGTATCTTTATGCTTATTTTTGTAGTTCTCATTGTCATTTCTATTAATTTTCTGAATTTATGTGGAATTTTTAATTTTCAAATGCTATCATTAATCCGTTCCTTTTAATTGAATCAAATGCCTGTTTGAAGTATCATCATCATTAGCCATTTTGCGTCCACTGCTGAACATAGGCCTCCCGTAAATAATTCCATTGCATCCGATCTTGAGCAACTTGAATCCAGTTAGACTGGATGCGTTTTAAATCGTCCGACCATCTTGTTGGAGGACGTCCTCGACTACGATAAGCATCGTGTCTAGGCCTCCACTCTAAAATTTTCTTTGTCCATCTTCCATCTCTGACCCTAGCAACATGTCCTGCCCAGTTCCATTTCAGGGTTGTAATTCTTTCAACTGCGTCCGTCACACCAGTTTTTCTCCTTACTATCTGACTCGAATCTCTGTCCCTGAGTGATACGCCCAACATTGACCTCTCCATCGCTCTCTGTGCCACTTGTATCTTATTAATTACTTTTCTGGTAAGTGTCAATGTTTCTGCTCCATATGTCAGAACTGGAAGTACACACTGATCAAAAACTTTTCTCTTCAAGCACATGGGAATAGCTGATTTAAAGACTTCCCTCAGTTTTCCGTATGCTGCCCATGCCAGTCCTATTCTCCTTTTTAACTCTGTTGTTTGATTGTCTCTTCCCAATTTAATCTCGTGGCCCAGATACTTATAGGAATACACTTGTTCAATTTGCGTGCCATTAGTGGAAATGTTTTTTGCCAGTACCAGGTTGGTCATGTATTGTGTTTTGGAAAAATTAATTTTATTGCCAACTCGTGCACAAGAGCTCTGAAGGTCTTGAAGAAGTTGGCATGCATGATCTACCTGATCTGCAATAAGGACTATGTCGTCTGCAAACCTCAAGTTGTTCAAAAATTCCCCATTTATATTTAATCCAATATTTTCCCAATTATTTTTTCTCATAGCACTCTGTAATAGGGCGGTGAATAGTTTAGGAGAGATAGTGTCTCCTTGCCTAATACCTTTCTCCAAGGGAAATGTGTCTGTGTCACCATAGTACATTTTTACAGCAGCTGTTGCGCTATCATATATATTTCGAAGAAGAGTTGTGTACCTATGGTCAATACTGCACTCTGTAAGAGCTCTCAACATGGAGCTATGCTGGACTGAGTCAAATGCTTTCTCAAAGTCTACAAATATTAATATCAATGGCTTGTTGTATTCTATAACTTTCTCTATCAAGGATTTTATTACTTGTAGGTGGTCATTTGTTCCAAAGCCACTCCTAAATCCGGCCTGCTCTAGAGGTTGATGAAAATCTAGCTTAGGTCCCAGTCTGTTAGTAATTATTCTCATAAAGAGTTTATATAAATGAGATAATAAGTTGATAGGTCTGTAGTTGCCAATTTCTGTTACATCTCCTTTTTTATGCAATATTATCATAATGGCATTATTCCATTTTTCTGGCGTATTTCCTTCAAAGAGGCAGGCATTATAAAGGGTTTTTAAAGCCTTTATGACGCATTCGCCTCCTAGTTTTATCATTTCACATACAATGCCATCTTCTCCAGGTGTTTTGTTGTTTTTCATACCTTTTAATGCTGACTTAATTTCCTCTTCGGTTATATCTGGAGTTTGAAGTATATGAATAACATTTCTAATACTAATTTGTATTCGTTTGCTTTTTCCAGTATTCAGTATTTGTTTTAGTATGTGTATTGCATCTATTGTAGATCTTCCTTCTGTGAATCCATATTGGTACTGTCCTATTGTCAAGTTAGACTATTGACAATCTAAATTTCATGAGATAATGCTAGAAAAAATTAACAAAACTCTCTTTCTCTCTCTCTCTCTCTCTCTTTCTCTTCAATCCCAATCCCTCATAGGGAGGATTGTGATCATGGTAATGTCGTGTATTGTCTATCTGCAAAGATCTCTGGACCTTTCTTTCAACTCATACACATGGAGATCCTGTTGGAGATCTTCCTTGTGATCTTTGAACTTTTACCTTTCCATGTAGAATAAGTCTTTTGAGGTTTTCTGTGTCTGCTCTCATAACTAGTCCAAAGTATTTTATTGTTATAGATGGACTTGGCTAGATAGCTGTTTGCTGACTTTTGCTAATAAATAAAAATAAAAAACACCAATAATAAAATATAATTTGTGTTTTTGCAATGTGCTAATATTTTATTCAGTCGTTATATCCCACAATATAAAAAATTTGTAATATATATCACTTTACGAAAAGCCACAGACATAAACATGCATGAAAAAATTGTTTACCACTAATAGCAGGGTTCATGATACAGTTATTCCGAAACCCATTCAAGTGGTAAAAAATTCATTACATGATTCGATGTTCATACTGTGCGGCCATCAGAAAGCTATAATTTAATTTTCGGTTTTCTCTTCCTATGTAGAAAAAATGATTGAAGACCGGCATGACTGTTTTTGTCGTGTAATAAACTTATTTACATAATTAAATCACGATAAACAAAATTTGATTAAGATCTAACATCGGGACAGGTTAGATCCTATTGCTGAAATATCTTTCAGCGGCATTACATTAATAAATTAGAAAGGGATTTGACATCATGTAGACCATGTTGTTGGACTTGGACCTGGGAATTGGAAAATTCGCTGAGAATAACACAAATATCAAATTTACAATTCATTGATCATTTTTATAACATTTCAAACTAATATGTCATTTAAGCGATTGTTATTTTTACAACTTAAAGGGTATAGACATGAATAACTATATGAACACTAAGAAGGGGATGTGGTCGATAAAACCAGTCCATTGGACAGAGATACAGGGATTGCTTTGCGTCACTTTTGCTTTGCGGAATTGAGAGTTAGGTTACGGAAGTTCTGTTAAAAACATGGTAATTTTAGTTTCCCAAATTTGCAGCTCTCATTAAAGCATTGTTATAGTTATACAACCTTGTGGTTTTTAGATAATAAACAATCATATAGCAGGTGACAAAATTCTGAAACTAGACTACAATGAGTAATCTACACACTGTGCTTAGTGTAAAAGAGTTTTGGTACAACATTCCAACAAAAGAGGCCAATTTTTTTTTGTGTGTTTTGCCTTGGACAATTGTCATTTAGACAGTCTCAATCAAGATAAGTTTATTAACGTAGTGTGTGTGTGTGTGTGTGTGTGTGTGTGTGTGTGTGTTTGTGTGTGTAGAGTAATTGTCTTGATACTTAGCAAAGTCGACGTCACTGTCTTTGCTAAGAGACGCTAACTGTATCCGAACGTCTGCGGTCCCTCCGATGAGTACCGATCACACAAGGATAGAATTTATTTTCATTTATTAATTTTTTTAATAAACGAAAATTTCCACCCAGGTGAGATTCGAACTCACGACCTTTAGGTTTAAAGATAGGTCTTACCACTGAGCCACAGAGGGGGCTTAGAGGCCAAAATTGGAATTTGTAGGTAAATACTTTTACTGCTGGAGCTCAACAGCTGCTGGAGTAACAATAACAGTCAACGTGATGACGTGATTGATAAACCTCAATAAATGATCAGTCTACCTTGTAATATAATACGTCTATGGTTAAAATATTGTATATTCTGTCAGCGATCGGTGACAAGTGACATAGTTATAGCATGTAATGCAAGTGCTTATGGAGTTGAAAGTGTGTTGAGTCATAGAAAAGATAATGTCCAAGAGAAGAGAATATTTTTTGTTTCAGGTGCACTCAATAAGGCTATAAAAAACTATTCACAATGAGAAAGTGAAGTCTTAGCTATTATTTTTTGCATAAAAAAATTTCATAAATTTATTTCTAGTGGATCCTTTATTTTGGTCTCAGACCATCAACCGTTAAGAAGACTTTTTACACCAGATCGTAATATTTCTGTATTGTCTGTTTTATTTATTACTAGGTGGAATATCATATCAAGGGTCAAAAATGTATGAGACTGATATAATGTCACAATTACCTTGTATCTTACTTTACCTTTAAGATGTAGCTAAAGTCTTATCAAAAGATAATATTTTGTTAAATGTGATGCATTTTGTAAAAACAAGTTGATAAAATAAATGTAAAAATTGTGATCTTAAACCAAATTTTTTAAAAAAGATGAGCTTTCTATTGAAATCAATGTTTGTTGATAGGTATAAGTGTGGTAATGCCCATTGAATTAATTAATTAATTTGGAATTAATTCAAGAAATGCAATAGGTATAGTTCGGTATAAAATGTTGGCTAGAGCAGTAGTTTGGTGGCCTGGGTTACAACCGGATATTGAGACAATGATCAATAGTTGTCAGGTGTGCCAGTTAATGCAAAATAACTCTGAAAAAACTATAACGAATTGGCGCAAAACCTATTGAAAATTGAAAATCTATTTGAACGAGTATATGTTGATTTGTTTTTAAACCATTGTACATTTTTAATTATTGTAGACTCTAAGTTAAAGTGGGTTAATATACATACTATTAAAAAGGGTACTTCATATTACACATCTCAGACAAATTGAAAGTAACTTTTGCTTTGATAGGTTTGCCAGCTATGCTAATGTGTGATAATGGTCCATTTTTTATTGCTATTTAATTTAAAGATTTTGTCAAAATAGTAAAATAACCATTCTAAAAACCATATCACCCTCAGTCAAATGGGTGTGTAGAGCTACATGTTCAAATAGTTAAAGCTGGATTGAAAAATTTTCCATTCAAAAATTTGAGCTCAGTATGGAGCAGCAAGTGATAAATTTCCTATTTGATTATAGAAATAAACCAAGTCCTAGTACTGGGTTAAGTCCAAATGAAATTGTTTTCAAAGTTAAACTTAGAATCAGAATTCTTCTTCTTCTTTTTATCTAGACATGACATGAGTTAATTTTGCTGTTATAATAACGCATTTTGTTTTTTTTTTTTAGGAAATTAACATGTTGAATTTTCTGGTGACCTAGAACCAGAATTTTAAAGTTTTAAGAACCAGAAAAGCCAGACGACCTTTTAAAACCAAGAAATGATGGAAAAGTTATGTTCAATAAAAATGGTAAGTATGCAAAACCAGATGTCTTTACTACAGGTAAAAAAGTGGGCAAATTCGATCCATATGTTAGGGTAGAAGTGCTAATTTATACTTTATAAACACAGATGATAAAATTATGTATAAACATATAAATATTTTAAGAAAATTAACAAACAAGAGTGTAAAGTTTGATTTAATAAAATGTGCTGGTATCGTAATACAAATGCAGGCAATGATCTGGTTCCTATAGCTAAAATTCCAAGTCCTGATTACCAAAACAAGGGAAATATGATATAGGTAAAATATCTCATCCAAATAAAAGCAGTCCTTCCTTAGTAGTAGCCTGACAAAATCAGTTAATAGTGAGTCCATATTAAATCTTTAGTTTATGGTCATAGTAAATCCTTATTTTTATTGTTTTTGTTATTAGGGAAGGAAATGTAATGAAACTTGTTAAATGTTAAAATAGTTATAGCTGGGAATGATTGGTAACATTGTCATGGTAACAATTGACAGGAGAGATAGTCGTACCTTTTGGGTAAGGGGTAAGTAAGCTAAGAATTAGTGAACCTTGTATTCGAACATAAAAAGTTAATTGTAGTACTTGATGTTAAATATAGTTAATCAAACAAAATCTTTATTTATCAAGTAATATATATAACAATAATAAGAAACATCTAAGATTTTTATAAAAAATTATTATGTATTTAGAGCATTCTTAATGTAATTTTGTTTTATGTTGTTTCTTCTGCTTCAGCAAATTTCAATTTTCAGCACCGAACGCCGCCACAGATCCATCACTGTATGACAGCGATCTCAAGTATAAGATTTCAATCAAGAATTGTGATATATGTAATCATAGTTTAGCCGAAAGCAACGAAATGATTTTTCGTTGCTCAATTCCTGTAGCGATTTCGGCCTTTGATGTTCACCGCCTTCTTCGAGCTTAGCTAATGACGATATGCTAATAATGTTTTCGAATTATGCATGCCTAGTCTCATTTGCTGCAAACTGATGGTTTATGAAAACAACAACGCAGAGGTTATTACGGAAAAGGAAGATACAATAGGTAATGTTTTTCTATCATAATTTCCAGAATATTCTCAGTGAACTTATGAAAGATTTAAATTAATATAATTCTGTTTATTTATATTAAACTTCGCATAAAGTGCAAATACAAAATATCACATAATGGATGTTGAAAAAAGACAATAAAGGTTTATTCAGGGCAAAAATAGTAAAAACAATGTGTCGGAACATAAAAGGATGCTCTTTGGAGGAAGAAGACCAGTATTACTAGAGATACTGCACTTAAAATACTTTGAAAACATTTAGGAAAGAAGTTTTAGCATGAAGAATACTGCTGGAGGTCAAAAGAAGTTTAAAAAAACAAAGTTGATCAGAAAAAAATTTAAAATTATAAAAAATCTTTTCTATATAAATTGTATTCCATATTGTGAATAATAAAAAAATTGTTTCTTAAAATAAGAGAAATTCCCAGTTACACTACTAGTTATTTATTATTCTCGAATTACATTTCGTTATTTCATTTATAACACTACTGGAAGACAGTCGGAAATTTTCCAAGTCTTGCAGAAAAATGCAAAGATCAAGAGAAAGTTTCACAAACTTCTTATAAGGATCTGAATCATCAAAAAGATCTTCGCCAGAATTTAGCAACTGAAACAATTTGTCCACTGTGCATTTAAACTGTTTCATGAGCTTTTCTTGAAATACTGCCGTCCAATACTTCTGGAACCGTCGTAGACATTCCAAAAGAGACCAAGGAGGTCCAGATAGCATATCCATTTTTAACCAGACGTCACCATAAGCATCTTTAGCACACTCACAAATTACTGCAGAACACAAAGTACTCAATGGTTCCATAATATTTGCAAACTTTGTAGTTTTTGAAGTAATTGATGTAATTTTTACAATGATTTCTTTGGAAGACTCAGCTAGAATGTCGTTGATCATGGCTTTATTTCTTAGATTAATATCATTTGACAGCAATATTACTACTTCATATTTTTCCAGTGCTTGCAAACACGTTCCAATAATTTTATCATCTTGGCTTATTCCCACGTATTTTTGATCACTCATATCACTAATTGATTGTCCTTTAACTCTAGGATCTTTTTTGCTGATGAATTCATTAATGCATTTAATCGCCCTAAGAGCTTGATATTTTAATGAATTTTCACCTGGTCTGTCTTTCATTTCATCGAGCTCAGTTATAACCATCCATGGAATGTAAACTAGTGGTTTAATTCGCCCTGCTGTTGTTAATTCAATGATATTCCTAATTATTGTAAGATCTGAGATGAATACATTGGTGTCTACAACAATACATAAGTACGGCTCTTTGGACACTTTATTATCCTTTTGTGTCTTTGTAGTTTTTTCAGTTCCTACATTGGTTAAATCAGTTTTGAAGCATGGGTCACATATAAACTTCTTCGTTGATAATTTCTCACATGAGTCGTTTGATTTTCGCTTTTCACCACTATTTGCCTTTTCGTTATCCTTCTGATTTAGAACTTCTGGTTTTTCTTTACTTACGTGAATCTCACTTTCTTCTGGTGAAGTAATTTTGTCTCTCATCAACAAATCCATTTGTAATGAATATTTAAGTTTGTTCAGTCTATTTTGTGCCAAATTTCTAGTAATTACAGGAGGAGGTATTTTTCTGTGACAATTCCGCTTTGCTGTACAGCTGTCGTTTGTAGTATTTGAATTCTTTCGTTTTTGGGCTTGTCTCTTCGGACTGTCAGGAACGTTTTTAGAACAGGAAGCTCCATAATTCACATTTGATAAATTTGGTGCAAGTTTAACTCTTTTTCGATTACTAGACATAACAAGTTATATATATTGTGTTTGTAAAAATGACAAAAATATCGGTTGACATAAGAATATGTCATCTGTGAGAATAAAATACTTTTAATTTTATATTGTGAGATAGGTTACACGTATTATTGAAAAATTTGAATTTTATGATGATAAGATAGTTATTATTTATAGATAAATGATAATGATAAGATAATATAACATAGTTATTTCTATACACTTAAATTTTTATGTGAATTTTTAAATGATACCAAGATTTCTATACATAATAATTTCAATACGATACTTTTGATACTTAATACTTAGTGCATAAAAGTAGTTTTTAGCTTGTGTAGAGGAGGGACGATGAATTGAGTAGGGTTCTTTCAGTATTTTGTGCAAGAAAGACTTGGGCGAAGAAGTCCTTAACCCCAACACGGCGTGTCCCAATGGCTGCTAAGGAACGTTCCTGTAGGTATGCAGGACAGGTATGAATAAGGTTTTGCCAAATAAGTATTCGCGAATCAACGGAGAACATGACACAGGTCAGCAGCTGTGCGTAGGACAGCACAGGTTTCTGTTTTCCGTACAATTACATTACCCCACGCAAATTTAAGCGCAGGGCAGGGCAGCACAGAACTGTGTTTAAGAAAACCTGCCAGCACAGTCGTCCGGACACAGATTTCTGTGCCACATGCAGAGCAGTTTGTTTGTTTCTAGTAAAATTTTGTGTGGTTATATTCGAAATGAATGAATAATTAATCGAATTGGTGAGAAGCCAGACAATTCTTTATGATACCAACGATCCCAATTATTTAAATTAAATAAGTAATTTACAAGAAGATAAGTAATTTAAAGAAGAAGACCCACAACAGGAAGACTCCATAGTTGATCCAGAGAGTGAAATTGCTGACGAGATGACCAGCGACATTCGACTTGATACCGAAGAAATCGAGAGTGTTAAAAATGACATTGTTAATGAGCCGTCTACGTCTGGTATTATTATACAAAAAAATAACGAAAAAGAAAATGTCAAACGTAAGGCAACTGAAGACCAATCAATCACAACCAAAGCAGCTAAAAATAAGAAACCTAAAAATGATGATATACAGGAAGTGATAAAGCCGTCAATTATGCAACGTCAAAAAAGGGCCGAAGAAAAAGCAGTTGAAAGGGCAGCACAGAAGCCTTTGGATGATGATCTCTATCATTTTTATATGTCGATGTACAAAATAACCAAAAAATGCCTCCATCGTGCAAGAAATGATGAGTTCCAAGCTATATCGCAGCTCGAAGCTGTATATCTAGAAATTCATGATCCCAGTCAAGAAAACTACACTCATAGTGAACAAAGAGTTTTTACAAGTGCATATTTTAATACCCATATTCAGCAGCCCCATCACTCGTCAACACCTCTTCCATCACCAAGTTCCAGTCACAGTAACAGCATACTGAGAATCAACATTGTAATAATCCTCTAGCTCGTATTCCAAAATACTCTTTTGTATGCTCAAATGATTACAACTCTAGAAGCAACAGTAATTATTCATCTACTACACTCACCCCCAGGTTGTCTGCTGAGACTTCTCCTCAAACCGCTGATACCGGTAATATTCGTAATTTTGTGGAAAATTATAGAGTATAGAATTATGATTGTTTTAAATGATATTTTTGTATTTTTTAATAAAACAAAATTAATAAAAATAATACCTTAAAAAAACAGCTAGCTTTTTTGGTTTCTATTGGTTTTTGGACATTACAACCATCTGAATAAATACTGTTTTCTATTATATTATGTATTTCATCAACTTGTTTTCTGCTTAACCGAAAATAATTTAAATAACGAGACTCAGAGAATTCTGATGATAGTGCAAATTCCCCATGAGTATTTCTCCTTTTCATATAGTTGCTTTTCCAAAATGATTGTTTTCTCTTTGACGTTGATGTTGAATAATAAAACTGTTTCTTCAAATTCTGTGTCTGACTCTGATTCGGAACTGTCCAGAAATAACGCCATTATTTAAATAAAAAAATTTTCTTTCTTTGTTCATATAATATATTCGATATTCGCACCTCAAAATTTTCGAGAAGACTGCTGTCAAATATGCGCTTACACTGCGTGACACGTATATTTTCTGACCTGTGTAGCCTGCCCTGCACTGCGTCACCTGTGTCACCTGCGTCCCAATGTGCTGCTTACTTCATTATTGGCCCGTGGCTAAGAAATACAATTCCCGACAGGTGCGGTACCACAAAGTCGCAAGCAAAAATCAAATACTGATTTAATCGGCTGTGATACTGTGAACACTCGCCAACCCGTCCGGCAAGCGAGGGGTTTTATTGCCAATCTACCCCTCAAAAAACAACATGTTGAACTTAAAACAAAATGGGACGATACTCCAGGTGGGTAGAGCTAGCAGCTCCGAATCCCGCACCGGAAAACCGATCAGCCTCACGGATTCTGGCAGAGGCACAAGATCAACAAAACGCGACAAAATGAATACGAACAAACAAAAAGAGTTACTATGGCTGAAGATGAAAAGGTCTACGAATTAGAAGACGAACTATCCAAGATAAAGTGGGATATTGTAGGACTGTCAGAAGTGAGAAGAAGAGGCGAACAAACCATGCATCTAAACTCTGGAAATCGCTTATACTATACAGGGAAAATAGACGAAACGAATGGTGGAGTAGGATTTCTTGTTAAAATGTATCTCACACCATACATTTCTACATATTGTAATATTTTTATTATTATAATTTATTATCTTTACTTATTATCAATAGAACTGAAATAGAATATGCATTTAGAACCACAAAGATGCATGAAGCAACAGGTCCAGATGAAATTAATATAGAAGCAATAAAACTACAAGACGAGGAGAATATCGAAATCTTGGTAAGGCTGTTCAATAGAATTTATGATACTGGTTACATTCCGCGAGAATGGCTGCAGTCATCCTTTGTGATGATGCCAAAAACAGCTAATGCCACAAAATGCAGTAAACACCGCTTAATCAGTTTAATGAGTCACTTGCTGAAACTCTTCCTTAGGATATTACACTCAAGAATGTACAAGATACTAGAAGAATTTAGCGGGTCAACACAATGCGGTTTTAAGGGAGGACTAGGAACAAGAGAGGCAATTTTATGTTTGAACACCTTAAGACAAAACTGCTTAGATCAACGAAAATATGTCTACCTCACCTTCATAGACTACGAGAAGGCATTTGACAATGTTAAACATGATATCATGACGGAACTACTACATACGGCCAACATTGACCAGAAGGAGATCAGAATTATTCAGAATCTATACTGGAACCAAATGGCAAAGGTGAGGATTGATCAAGACCAATATACGGATGAATTTGAAATCCGGAAAGGTGTCCGCCAAGGCTGATTACTCTCTCCGATGCTTTTTAATTTATATGTTGAAAATATATTTGCGGAAGCATTAGAAGACACGGAATTAGGCATTAAGGTGAACGGCATACCAATTAGCAACCTACGCTATGCGGACAACACAGTGATTATAACTGACAATTTGGAAGATAGGCAGTTATTACTTGATAGGGTGAATAGTATAGGTAAAAAATATGGCCTCAAAATCAACATTTAAAAAAAAAGTATATGGTCATCAGCAGAAACCCTCCAGAAAACCCGATAATATGCATAGGTGACGATCGTATAAAACGCGTGAAAACTTCTCGGATCCACAACACGAGATAAAACCTGAATACAAATGGCAAGACAAGCTTTTGTGAAATTCAGACCACTCCTATGCAATCAAAACCTAAATTTCGAAATAGGCTACAGAATGGTCAAGTGCTACATATGGTCCATCTTGCTTTATACCATGTAAACGTGGACTTTGAAAAAAACCATCTATCAACAAACTTGAAGCATTTGAAATGTGGTCAGTGAGAAGAATGATGCACATACCTTGGGTGGATAGAGTTCAAAACGATGACGTCCTTAAGAGAGCAGGCGTGGAAAGAGAACTCTTTGAAATAATTAAAAAACGCAAGATTGGTTACCTTGGGCACATATTCAGAGGAGCAAAATATGAAATTCTACAGTTAATCTTACAAGGGAAGATCGAAGGTAGGAGCCGAAAACAATTATCCTGCTTAAGGAATATTAAAGAATATAGAGGAATACACAATACAGGTGAGCTGTATTTAAGCTGTATTTAAAATATTTGTTACAATATTCACTGATTTATTTCACAATAATTATTTGTATTTACTTCTGGCTTACAATTTAAACTCGATATTCAAACTAGAACTTAATGTTTTCAACAGAATTCCCTCTTTAAATATAAAATACCGTTAACCGAGAATCCCTTCGAATTCGGTCGGCGACCCTCTCGAAAAGATCAAGGTTATATAAGTGTAAAACCATAACAACACATCAAGGAGAGGTGACGTGCAACCTTTATCCACTTATGTCTTCAATGAAGTACTAGACCTAGAAATAAGAATAAGAACGAATACAAAAAAATAATTAATAAGACAAAAAGAGCTATTAAAATAGCCAAAAATACTTGGTTAAGGAGCAACTTTATCAAAATAGAAACGCTACAAGAGGAACATGATTAATTTTTAAAGGTCCTACACAAAAGAATATATACGAGGAGAACAACTACCAATAATACACAGCTACTGTTAGTTCCTTTAACTCAATAGTCTTTCGGCCTGATCTATCTATCTATCTATACAGCCCTAAACATCGATCCTTGGATATAGGCCTCCTCCTTCTTCCACGCCTCTCTATCTTGGGAAATTTGCATCCATTTTGACCCGGTGTGTTTCTTCAGCTCATCTGACCATCGTATTTGTGGCCTTCCCCTTTTTCGTTTGTAATTCCTTGGTCTCCAATGTATAATTGTCTTAGTCCATTTTTCATCTTTCTGCCTTAGGGTGTGTCCGGCGAACTTCCATTTAAGCTTTGCTACTTGGGTTGAGACATCTGTCACTTTTGTCTTATTACGGATCTATTCGTTTCTTTTTCTGTCTGATATTTTAATGTTCAGCATTTGTCTTTCCATGGATTTTTCTGTCTTTGCTATTTTTTCCATATTTTCCTTTGTAAACGTC